TACCGTGAAAAAAAAAAAGATAAAAAATATAGAAGAAATCCCACAATTCCGACTCCACAAATCCAACTCGAAGTTCGCGAGAATACCTACGCGTCGCTGAGTTGAATATCGATGGGAGTCTCGCCCGTGTGCACGCATTTCGCACACACGGGACGCGGAGTCGCATAACGGTGCATTTTCCACGACCGATCGAATGTCGCGAGCCAGCCTCCTCGGCGGAGGCACCTCCGCGAGAGCGACAGAGAGAGAGCGAGGCGCCGCCGCGGCCGCGCAAAAGGGACGGAGCGAGGCGACTAGGTGAGGCGCGCGCCGCAGCGCGGCACTACCGTCGGAATATTTCATGAGTCCCGGCGAAGCCCTCGACTCTTTCGAGAGGGTTGCGCCGGGCTAACGTCCCGGAACCAGAGCGGGCCAGGAGGGGAGGGGGTTGGATTTCACACGTCGTTACACACACAAGGGACGCGCGAATGCGCGGTATGCAAATGTGTACAAAGCGAGGCACCCGGTCGCAAAGACGCGCCAGGCGGCGCCACCGTCGCCGGATCGCCCGTCCGTAAATAAAATATCAGGCGGTTTTCTCGCCGGTTTGTCCACACGACGGAGAGGGCACTCGGAAAGTTTTCATCGGGGTTTTGGACACATCTCGACGTCATCGGGTCTAAGGGTAAGACGTATCTTTGCCGAACGCGCGCATCGGCCGAAAGGATCGGGAGACGTTCCCTCGCGAAGTATCGGCCGAAAATATCGAACTTCCCGAGCGGCTGCCGCAGCGCGTAATGTATTTTAAAAGCGTGCCCTCCGAAGGCAGCGTCAAAGCCGATGTAAAATATGATCAAATAAAGCGAGGGGAAATTAGATTTGGCAGGCTCTTCCCTGGCCGCCCGCCTCTCGCTGGAAATTGTGTCAAAACGTTCTCGCCCCGTCCGACCGTCCCTGCCTCCGTTTCTTGCCCCTTTATGGACCCGATCTCGAGTTCCCGGGAGCGAGCTTTTTCAAGCCGCGATCGTTTAACGCGTCGACGACCCTCGGAGAATGTTCTTCCTTTAAGATCTCCCTCTAGAAAAGAAATTGTCTATTTGTCCCGGAGAACGGTGAAAAAAAAATTTTCTTCAAAAAATTAAATTTCCCGAGTTTCAAGAGCTTTTCGTCGGGACCTCCACGAAACATTTTAAAATCCAGACCCTTTTAAGGAGTTTGAATTTAATCGAGGGCATTCTCGAGCGCGCCGACTTGCGGACGCTCGCCGAAATTCTCGAGCCGGAAGGGCAAATCGCGCTCGTCAGGAAACGCAGGGCAGGGCGGAACGAAACAGGGCAGGGGCTGTGCTGCAGTGGCAGGTTAATACATCGTGCCGTGCAGAGTGGAGGGTGGCTGCTGATGTAATTTTTGCCCGTTTGATGTCTTTAATGGAATCAGGCGCGCACCTAGCAGGCGCCACTCAATTTGCAGGGTGCGACTAATGGCTGCCGAGAGGTAGACACCGGCGAATGGCCGAACGAACGAAACAACCGGCGAGCCGCTCGAAAAGAGCGGACGCGAAAGCCTCGCCGAAAGGACCCGAGTGACTTTCGATCGCCCATCGGAAACGCGTTCGAGGCAATTTTTTCCGTTCCCAAAAATCGATGCTTTCGAGCCCCGACTACGTTCCACCATCGGACCCTTTACTCCCTTGAGAAAAAAAAATTATCCAGGCCCTACCGAGGGACGTTTTCGTAGACCCTGATCTTTCGTCGTCGTTCGGGGTAACTTCTTCGGCATCGCGGTGAAACATCGCAGCTTCTGCGGCTCATTAGCGCGCCATTCTTCCGGAGCGAGCGCGCGGAATGATAGGGCTTCGAGCGAGCGTATTTAGCCGCGCTCTCTCCGGCGTTCGGCATTCAGCCTAAATGTTTGATATTACCGAATGCTCCCGAGTCCTCCGCCCCTGCGTCCGAAATGCGTTTTCACGCCAATTTGTCACCCCGGAAGCTTTCACGAGTCTTTACGCTTCCCTCTCGATCGTCGCGTCGCCGTTTTCGCGCAAATACGCGCCGCCCTCCCCGTCCTATTCCCCTTTCCCTCTCTCCCCTCTACTCCCCATCTATCCGTCTCCTTTCGGTCACGAACGCATATTCAAAAGGGAACCCGTCGGCATGTAGCCTTCTCCCGGTGACGTCGGCATCTTTGCCCGACAAGGTAGGAGCTTGCTTCCAGGTTAGGTCCCTTCTTCGTCTACGTGGATTCATCTCCGGGTACATACGTTCCTCATATACCTCGTTAAAAAACATGGAAATACAAAAGAAAAATTGAAGGAGTACTAAAATATTCCTTAACCTCAATCTTCATCCCTTCGATTGAGGGAAATCGATTGCGAGGAGGAATAATCGCTGGCGCGGTGATTCCCGTGGTTTCGTGTCGTCCTGACGGCGTAAACGGCCGCGGCTTTTGCTAGGGGATCCCGGGGGATTTCTCGGCCTCGAAGGGCTTCTTATACCGGCGTAATCAAGTCGCGTCGGGAGATAGCCGCGTCCTTCTCGCTCTCCGCGCGGCCAGGCGCGAGCGAGAGAGACCACGCTAGGGCCCCGCGCCCGCGCTCTGTCACGGTTGGACCATACTCCGGCGGATCCTACGGACCGGGTGTATAACCCGTAATCCGCCGGTCCATTCTGTACCGATGCGCCGGTGTACATCGCCAGCCGGTATTATCCGAGCAATACCAAGGTAGGACGTACATACGCGAGTACGAACACGGATTTACCTCAAGGCTGTCATAATGTCGCGGTCTCCTCCACGAGAACGGCAGCGTGAAAAGGAAAACCCGAAGAGCGTCCCCAAGGCCGCCATATTTCATTTGCAGGCGCGGTAGAGTTTCTAGTGCGTTATAGTGTTTTTAAATTCGAGTAAAATAACACAGCCACCGTGAATTTTTATCGAGGAGCTGAAAAGCATGATCCCCGTTTTCGGGGAAACATATGAATTATGGATGAGGTTCTATGGGGAAGGGGTGTTCTCGAGGTGACCATCGGTCATCGAGGTGTTTGCTTGTATTTGGTCGAGAATCGTTATCTACGGCGGCATCTCTTTTGGCCTCTCCATCGATATCTCGCCGGACACGACACGGCGAAACAATATGGCGAGCCCGTGGATCCCCATAATGAGCGCGGTGACTTGCACCTCCGACCCAGGACGCATTAGCCGTATTTGCATTTAATTGCCGGTTGTTTGTTTGACGTCAATTCCCGAGGGAATTCGGGAATAACGATTTTGGGCACCGCTGGGCCAGGAGCTCGAAAGGGAGCGCGTCGGGAAATATTGTAATAATAATTCCACCCGGGGCAAAAAGACATCGGACTCTTCCTGCAGGCATAATCGCCCTATTTTTGTCAGTGTAGAAAATATCCAGGAATTCGAGGAGGATTACTCCAGAAATCGAAGATCGCGCTCTCGTCCTCGGGGAAACTCGCGACTCCCATGGGCTCGAAGGGCTCGGTTATGGTTACCGATCCACGTATCTCGGATGGTAGCCGGGTGGATAGATGGAATCCTAACCGAATCTCGCCCCCCATCCTCCTCCGACCTCTCCCAGGGAAGACTTTCCCGGGACTTTGCCGAGACTTTCCCGGGTCGCGGGGGCACCCCGCCATCGCTCGGGCTCTCGCTCCACCCGTTCCTTCGGGCAACCAATCCCAAGTAAAGTTTGTTACACAACTCGGCGGAACTCGCGAAAATGGCCTGCCTCGCTGTCGAGGGATGCGGAGAGGATCTTTTCCACCGGTTGTCCGCTAACTTTTCCCTCGATTCGCGGCCGTATCGCTGATTGGTCGACCCGAGACTCCGGGGAAAGCGGCTCGGCGTCGTCGTTGTACCCGATGCGGTAACGGAATCGTTAGAATATTTCCCTCGGTTTTTGCATCGCCAGAAGTAGCGGAACCGGAGCGAATATTTCCTTGGAAAGGCGACGTTTCTTATGCGCATTGTTAAATAGCGGATAGTACGATGAATAATTCATTGACGGCGTCCGCCTCGTTTGACTCGCGTGCACTTGTGTCGACCGTCGATATCGCACTTTTCGTAACAATCGCTTGTACATACTGCGGAGTTTCGTGTGTTTGTTCAGGCTAGGAGTGACGTCGGTTTGACAAAATATCGGGACAGATAGGAACGCCCTGCTGAATGTTTAACACCGACTATTTGTTATCTGGACGAGTTGTTCCAATGTGGCGCAATATCGAAAAGACCCATCGAGGCAGAAAAGGGGAGAAAAATTCATGTTCGCGTCGGACTTTGAAAAGCTGCCCCGAACTTGTCGGACTGTCTTTTACGCGATACATTGAACAGTAACTGTAAAAACTAGACACTGATTTTTACTAATTATGGTATGTTTAAAAACTGTATATTGATTACATAAATAGGAACGTAAAAAATATCTGGGTATTTTTTTCCATATCAGTAGAAATAGAAGTCAATCTGGGGAGAATTTATTTCACGGTCTGGGAACCCTGTCAAAAATGAAGCACCCCGTCGTTCATTTTTTTTCTTACGCCAAGGAACATGGAGTCCTTGTGAGATTTCAGGATTAGACGAGAAACGTCAACTCCTGAACAGTTTTACCCTTTTATAAAGGTTTCGTCCATGGAATCGCGCATTAAAGATAGAACTTCAGACGTATCGCGACGACGGGACTCGGAAAGGAAACGCTCTTCAGGTTGAATTTTAGACTTAAAAAACAATAGTACGTAACTATTGTAATTAATTTTGGAAACAGACGGTGAAAATAATATCGCGGGGGAAGAGGACGATTCAGGGTGGATAGCGAGCCTCATCCTAAATCCAACGGATCCTGATATCCAGAAAACGAGATCCTCTACCACAGGTGACATATAGTTGGTCGAACATAATGAGTACATATCCATCGTACTCCTAAACCCTGAATTTATTGGGTCCGGACACATATTTTTTTATGGGAGATGAAATTAATTAATTGACGAATCCTTTCCTGCGCAAGCGAGGTTGCCCAGACGATGTCGTCAGGTTGGACTACCCTAAGAGTCCTGAAGATATTTTCGAAGGATCCCCATCAGAGTCTAAAAATAATCTGGACACAGGAAGGTCCTTCGAGTCGATGCTGTCCGATCAAACGGGTCCTTTAAGCCGTCGACTTCGTCGAGAACGCCGCATCGTGTCGCAAATCGAATTTCAGACCAGGTTCGAGGAAAAGGATAAAGTCGAGCCATCAGACCCGAAGACTAAAACCACAGTAGGCAGGATAAAGGATGCAAGAGCTCGACGAAGGGCAAGGATCAGCTCGGAGACTTCCAAAGGATCCTCTGAGGATTCCACTTCGATTTTCCCTTCGGATCTGCAGACTGCACGAGAGGTCCTGGAAGAAAGGGTCCCGGAGACCGTAAGGACTTTTCCCGGTGCCAGGACTAAGAAAAATCCAGGTCCTGAATTGTATGCAACGTCTTCCCTGGACTGGGACTTGGAGTTTCGGAATCAGGACTCGGATGAAAATTATCCTGGACTATTTAGCAGACATGTGGAGGATCCTATCTATGATCAAATAGAAGAGCTCGGGTATGATGGCGGATTTCATCAACGAGTGTTCTCCAAGGAGAGATTTCCTTCCAAGAGATCCTTAGACGCGATTTCTGTTCTCATGACCGATCGACAGAATTTCCCGATCGATAAAATTAATAAAATCAGATCATCGTCGAGAGTTGGAGGGTATAGACCAGAGATAATTCTGAAAAATTTGAGTACTGACAGCGAATCGGATCCTGCAAGTCGAGGGTCGAGGTTTGATCCTAGAGTCCTTCGACGTCCTCGGCAACAATGGCGGCATCTCGCCTCGAAAAATTTCGAGGAAAGTGGAGAATTTCCCGCGGGAGAGGGGGAATTTCGGTTTGTGCGGAATTTTGGAAAATCGGAGGACCTTCGAACAGATGCAAGAAGAAGGAGGGAGAGCGAGGTCCTGGAGAGGTCGAGGGAGAACAGAAATCCAAGAGGAGATTCTTCGAAGAGGATACCAGAGGAAAGGCGACATTTTCATGGCTCCGAAGACACGGGAAAAATCTCTTGGATCGACATGCCACCCGAAGGAAGGAAAACCTCGAATTCGAGGCGTGTTTTCGACCTCGCTTCTGAAAAGCTTGAAAGCATCGAAGAAATTGGGGAAAAGAGGTCCTTGTCGACCTTGGATAGAAGGTCCAAAGGGTCCTCAAAAGGATCCAAGGAATCAGGACCATCGTGTACATCCACTTCTGGAAAATCGGACGATCCGAAGAAAACTAACGATCGACTCAAAGACCTCTCGAAACCGATTCCACCTCCCAGGAAATCAAAGCAGGATGACGTGGAATTTTTTGAAGCTGAATCCTCGATCGGACATTCCGTGTCCAGATCCTCGAAGTCGTCGAGATCCTCCAGATGCACTGGCTCCACTTTTACCTCCGATTCCGACAGTTCTCTGACCTCGAAGAGTCGCCGACTTCGCGACAGAAGAAGTCGCCGAAGAAGGACGAAAAGTACTCCGAAGAATCGACTCAGCTCCTTCCAATCCTCGTCCAGAATTTCTCTGAATGTCCTCCGAGAAGTTGCTGGACCTGGCTTAAATTTTTCTGAAAAGGAATCTCCGACTACAGAGGAGAAAAAATTAGATCAAGACGGTCTCGCTAAAAATGAGAATTCCACCGCGATATCTTTAAAAAATGAAGCAGTATCAGCTCGAAAGTCTTCATCCCGGAGGAAATCATATTTATCGAATGACCGTGATGAAACAGCCCCGATAATTGAATCGGAAAATTTACATTTTCACCTGGAGAGTGAAAATCAAGCCACCGTTGCGCCACTTTTCCAAAAAGAATTAAAAGAGGTTGAAAAGGGGCAAGCTGAGGTAAACGTAACAGAACCCTCAAAACCAGAATTGTCGCCTTTCCATTCTGAATTGAAACATTCCAAGTTAGAACGTTTGGAAATTTCAGAGGTGGCAAATTTTTCCAGTCCAACTCGAGCTGATAATATAGAAAAAATAAGAGACACTCCAAGAAGGTCTTCCACCTCCCAAGAAAATTCCGCTCGAAAATCGACAGGTAAATCTGTAGATAAAGAAACGGAAAATACAGATGACAAAAAACATTTACTGACATTAAGGGATTCAAACGATAAAAATTCATCTCCGGATAAAATCGATTCAGAGTCGAGTAAAAATGAAAGCGATGTCTCTCGGGTTTCTCAAGACACGAAAAATGCCCAAAAGTCATTTTCTACCAACCTGATGCCGAAAGTCAAAGGATTCGTCGAGAAATTGTCATCGAACGTCTGGTTGAAGAAATCGGATATTTTCAATAAACGAAGACATAAAAAACGAGGCGAAATTAAACACCGCAGCTCGCAAACTTTGACATTTGAAAATATTTCCAATTTTTCTGAAGAGAAAGCCAACCCTGAAGAGGTCAATAATAAATCGGACATAGAGGACGAAGATGAAAATGTTCAAAAAAATTCAGGAAAGAAAATGTCAACTCCGGTCAACAAGAATCTTCAAAATGCTCCAAAATTTGACTCGTGGGTAAAGGACTTTGACATTGACGATTCCAAGTCTATTAACACTACAGTGTCTTCTGGTCAGGACGATCGCATCGACATTTTCTTCGCTAAGAAAAATAGCGACTTATCGAAAAAATCGACGATAACCCCCGAAAATTCTTCGGCATGTCAAGATGAAACCGACGAAGACAACGGCTGTTTATGTTTAAAAATATGCCAATTATTAGCGCATAATAAATCTGGTAGAAAAAATTGATGTCTGTGCTCTTACCGATTGAGCAGAAAAAGTGTCTTCGAAGGATATTACCAGAGACGCTACCGACTGTAGGTGAAGATGAAATTTGCACTTAATACATTTTCGAATCTGTCGATAACATTGGACATGTTAATTCAGTAAGGGAAATAAAAATATTGTTGAAAATACATAGATAAGAATGATCGATATTCGAGAATCTGGAGGAAGTAGATGATTCATCGAGTCAACAATTTTTTTCATGATAACACAAAATTCTTCAATCCACCGTCGATCAAGAAGGAATTTTCCGCTCTCTTTGCCGAGAATAAAATTAAAATCTAGTGAGAAAGATTGAAGTCTTATCGATCGTAGGTAAAAAAAATAACACGTCATATTTTAGTCGTGAATGTCACCCTCAACATTAATTCGACTTCTTTAAAAATATCGTATTAAAAAAAAAAAAAGAAACCAACAGGTTCCACATCCGGGCACGGGAAAAATCATCCGGTGGGACAAAAGACTGCTAACTAAACTCGTGAAAATTCGAGCATCGTTCACGGTCCTTTATTTCGTTAATTTTTCCGTTCGCCGTTGGTACATCTCGATGATCGCGTAAATTGCTTACCTCCACATCTCGCCCGTACATGACCGGATTCCATTAGGTACGAGCACGGTTTGGCTTATTCCCCCAGAGGCGAATTCGTCATGCCTTAAATCACCTCCTTAATAGTAAAACGTCCCTTCGCTACGCATTCTGTCGTTTACCTCTATTCTCGTTATTATAATTATTATTATAGAAAAAATAAGTCTTTAAATAATCACATAAGAGTCGTCGAGTGTTTCATGGGGAACGGCAGGATAGAGAGGAGGAAAGAGCGAGGAATTCCCGAAGGGAGAGGATCTAGGGATTTTTCAGGGCAGATCGGAATTAGTGGGCTAGGTCAAGGCAGGGTCAAGGTCCTTCGTCGCTTGGAGAACGGGCGACATGTTTCGATTTCCATGTCCGGTCACAATTTTTTTTCGGGCTAGCTATGCTTCTAAGCTTTAAAGAAACCTCCGCCTTAAGGGGCCATGGGTTGCGTCGAGCGCAGACGATTCGTTGATTCGTTAATAAGTGACGTTCGGCATTAAAGTTTCGGTAACAACGTTTACGTGATTTTGTTCGGTATCAGAAAATGGCCGCGTCTCGATCGCGTCTCAACCCCCTTTCGCCTCGGCCCAAAAATTTGTTCACGCAAAAACCCGAACCTATAGGGAGACGATTCGCGGCGATTCGAGCAAAGGGACGAAGCACTCCTCGTTATTCAATGATTTCTCGACAACTCTCTCCCTCTCTCGATTTTTTCTCGGTTTCTAATTCTAGGTCGAGGAGCGCTTCGTGCCTATCAACGATCACGTTGTCCGGATGCAACGCAAGGTCGTAGGAAAAACCCCACGTAGCTCCTTGTGCTCGAAAAATGATCTCTCGACGCTTCTTGAAGTCCCCTAAAACGCGATTCTGCCTCGCGTTGTTTTCTAGAACCCGTGACACAGGGAGTACATAGAATACGCCTCGTTCGCTGTCTACATACGCTCTTACGTGCTACTTTACATCCTGCGAAGTTGACGTGTCCCTAAACGGTCGCCTTCTCCACACGAACTCGTCCATAACCCCATCATGTGCGCGTTCATATTCCCACATCCAGCCAAGTCAACGTGTTCCAAAATGTTCGTCCTCTACACATGGACTCGTCCATAACCTCATCACACGCATGCGTTCATATTTCCACAACCTCGCGTCCCTACAATGGTCTATCACAAAATCGAACAAATTCGAGGTGTCGATTCCAATCACCGACGATTACAGGTCGTCGAGGAAGAGTCCAGGCTACATTCGCTGTGTATTAACCAGAGCCAACGAGACAACGGAAGGTCTTAAATAAGAACGGTCGCACGGTGATCCTTGAGTCCGCAAAGATGCGGCTCGAGACGAGGATCGGAAACCAAAGCGAAGGCGTCGCTCGTGGCTGCGGAGAGGTCCATATTTCTGGCGACCCTGAAGGAGTTGACGGGACGAAGAGTCCTTTTCCCTCGCATTGGCCTCGGCTCGCCAAGGACGACAGGACGGAGAGGGACGTGACGTCCTCGCAACGGGGGACGAGGACCACGGGACGGTCCTGGAAACTAAGAGTCACTATCTGGGGAAAAAAGCGCAGTAAATACAAGACATGCCGACTACCTTGAAGACCCGTCGATGTCGCTTCCTCCTGGAGTGCCGCTCTTCAAAGAACTTCAACGTCCCTTAAACAACTCCACCAATCGTTACCACATTCATGGAGCATATCCAGTTCCGTGTCTCGAGCATTGGATCAGGAACTCCCCTCGAGCCGCTCAAACCAGGGTGTCCTTCGGGATGTGGAAGAGACGCAGTTCGGATACTTACACGTTGTTAAAAGAGCAGGTGGTCCAATCCGGCCCTCGGATCGACCCAGCCCCAGGTCCATTGCTCGGTTTCCGATGACAAGTTCCGAACGCTCCTGGCAGAGACTGCGTCATCATCCACGATGAAGAGTCCAGACTCGAGGTCGTGCCACGTTGACGAAAGGGATACGTGGAGGTCGACCAGGACATTTCGGCACCCGTTGAAGAGGCGAAAGGAAAAGAAGAAGGTGGAGACAAAAAGAGAGAAGAACCGACACAAGGAAGTAGAGCTCGGTCAGTCCTGGGACCAAACGGAGCAGCCTACATTGAACGTCCTCCACATCTCTGCGCATAAAGGACCAAGTTGCCGAGCAGATGAGGTCCTACCCTCTGGGCAGGGAGCCGCGGAAGCTGGAAGTCTCGCCCTGGCTCGTCGTCGTCGTCGGCGTCCCGAGGCGCTCCCGTCTCGGCGCCGACGTCGCTGGGCCGACTTCGACGCCGCGTCGCGAGCGCTGATGGCCCTGAGACGGGTCACGGGTTAAATGGCGTCACAAGGGAGGTGGAATGGAGAACTCCTTCCGCACGTAGAAGAGAATGTAAGGCTTGCACTTGGCGACCGAGTCGGCGCTGGCCGGGCGTACGGAGCTGTCGTTGAAATGGAACCACTGGCCGTCGTGGACGGCAAAGGCAGTGTAGTGTCCGGTACCGGCGCTGAAACCATGAGAACCATGTAAGAAGGGCCTTTAGGTCGGAGCTATGCGGCTACCCTAGCTCCGTCAGATCGGATAAAATTCGGGTGCAAGAACCTACCCCGACCCGTGGTGAACGATCACGGCGGCCAGGTCGTAGAGGTGGCTGTTCTGGGTCCCGAGCTTCGAGCCAGTGACCCCTCGCACCGTGAACGCCGACATGTCCAGCGACTCCATCGGGAAGTCTACCTGCGTGTCCACCTTCGAGCGATAGGAGTTGCACCACCTGAACCTCTTAATGTGAAGGCACAACACCTGCGCAGAGAAAAGGTTGATAAAGGTTGATAAGAGGGCAAATGTCTTTTTTTTGCGTGTACTAACGTTAGGCAGCCTGTGTATCCAGAACCTCTTGGTGGACCTCTGCTTCCCCATGCAGTTGTCGCAGAAATAGAGCTCGCTGTCGGCGAGCTCCTCCACCTTGAAGAATCTTGAGAGGCTGTAGGTGAGACAGCAGACCTCCTCCTGTTCCTTCGCTCGCCTCTGCAGCCGATCGGGGATATCCAGGGAGAGATCCTGAAAGGGCTCGTGGGTCTTCGAGTCCGTCCGACAGTTCATGCAGTGGACCTGAAGAAAGCCCAAGGTGCCATAAAAATTCGAGAAAGAGATATCCACCCCATCTTAAGGTGATCAGAAAGTGCCATTTTATACATGTATAGAATGGCACTTTCGGATCACCTTAGTCGGGGGTAGGAGCCAAGGTAGAGAGACAAGGTCGAATAAAGGGAGGCGGCCGAGGTGGGATCGATCCCAGCAAGGTCGAGGGTAGGTATCGACACCTCGCGCCTCCCTTTGCCGAGCGTTTTCGTCCTCGAAGGGCCGTACCACGCTGAGGAGAGTGCCTCCGAAGACGGCGGTGACGATGCTCTGCTTTCCTCTGAGTCCCAGGGGTTCGTGACCGAGCCTTGGCAGGAGCTGAAGGAGCTCGGTGTGGAGTCTGTCCAGCATGTAAGTGAGGAACTCGTGGGCGTCCTGCTGCTGGTAGCCGCGAAACCGCGGGACGACCTTCCAGATTACCAGGAAGAGGCACTCCGGGGAAATGGCCTGCCCGTTGGACCCGCCGAGGCTGAGCCCCAGGAGGACCTTCCTCAGCTCTTCGGCGAGCAGGGCGTCGCTGAGCTCCTTGGCTCGACCCGGGGCGACGATTCGCCCCCGGTGGGTCGGCGGCTCGTCGAAGGCGATCCCCTCCAGGCTCGGCATCTGCGTCAGGTACTCGCAAAAGTGGCTGATGTTGTTGAACGACTGGAGGACGACGTTCATGAAGCAAGTGTTCCCCAGGTTCCTCAGGCCCACGACCTTTTTCTCTTTGGTTATCTTCGAGTTCCTCCTCTTAGCGGCAGGCCGGTTCTCCGCGTTCCTGGACCCGTCTAGGGAGTGCGACCTCTTCCTGGTGCGCGGCCTCAAGTTCCTGACGACCACCTCGGCCTTCCACAGCGCTTCCGGGTCGTCCCCGGTTCCTCGACGCTGCGAGGCCGCCGACCCGCTCTGTGGTGACAACGTCGGCGAAGACGACGAAGAGGACGAAGACGAGGTCGACGACGAGGAGGTCCAGCTCTCCTCCGCCTCCTTGTGCTCCGCCTTCTGGAACGCCGAGCGACGAAGCTTCTCGATCTGCCCGCTCGTCGTGTCGTTCACCACGTACTCGTCGCAAGAGTAACTGGAACAATTGTTACGCGTTAATTGGCCGAAAGATCGTTTAATGCATCTTCAAGATAATTTTTCGAATTTCCAGGCACATTGGAGTTGAGATTAAGATTAAGGGTTACTCACCAGAATACTGCCAGGTTCTCACAGTCCATGCACACGCAGTGCTGAGTATTATTCTCGTGATGCTGCATCGCGTGGCCCGCCACGTAACGGCCGCAATGCACGGCCCCGCAGTGCAGGCAGAGCCACGTACTCTTCTCCGTGCCGCATACTGCGTTTTCGTTGCGTTTCCGTTGCGTAGACGTCGCACGTTGACCGCGTGGTCATGAAACATCGAACGCCCTCGTTAGGTATCGGCGTGGCTGCCCAATAAATTTTATATATCCACGAGACGATTGAAATCGTTCGATTGTTCGTGGATAATTGCATTCTTAAGGCGATAGGAAATTCACGGAGGGGCGAAACCATTCCAGCGAAAGATTCGACCCTCCATGGGCGTTTTCACCTCGCTCGGTCCTTTTCCCGGTTATCAACTTTTCCCGCGATTTTCCCCGGAAAAAAGTTCGCGGCCGCGGCCGAGCTCCACCCACCGGATCCGCAATCCGGGTCGGGCTCGGCGAGGGCGGATCCGGCTCCGAAATTGTGGAAAAAAAAAAAATCCCGCAGTTGGGGAAATCAGGAGAAAAAGGAAACCACCGAGCCCGGAGACCGTCAGGTCGTCGCTCGATAAGCAATCGCGCCTCTGAATTTTTTTTTTTACGTTGCATAAATTCGCCCCTCCCCTGCGGGTGCATTTCCTTCTCTTAACATACGTCTGCGGTATGTTATTAAATTAAGTAGGATTAAAAAGTAAAGGATAAAAGGTCCTGGGAAGGACTCGTCGGTCCAGCACCCTCCTCGGGAGTACACGCGAGGACGTGGAAATCGATATGAACGCCGTTAAGAATAGATTTCGCCAGGTTTCAAAGCCGCCGCTCGGAGGCTACCTTGCCGGGCGCTATAGTTAGCCAAGTGCATGCATACGATATGCAATGATAGTGGAGCCCAACGATATCGGAGCGGCACGTCGACGTATGCATGACCCGACGACTGCGAGAACGTCCGCTGCAACCGCGAATAAGGAATTCACCGTGAAAGTCATTTAACGATCGATTCGACAAAACGACGAGCCTTCCCCGCGCGCCATCTTGTCTCGCCATCTACCTACCGAGCATACCCGCAAGAAAAGAAAAAAAAGAATTCAGTTAATTTAAGGTGATATGAAAGTTTCATTTCGTACATGTCGATCATTCGTATCACCTTTACATTCCAAACTCCTCGTCTGGAGGAGCGATTAGGGTAAAAGGAAAGAAAGAAAAAAAAAAAGCAGGACTAACGCCCAAGTACATAGACCGATCCTCAGACTTACGACTGGATGGTATTTCCAATAATCGATAAAAAAGCTGGATATTCAATTCGGCTCGAAATCGGGGCCGAGGTCCGGGCTTGCTGAAAAGAGTGCGGCGCTCCGCGGGCGACGAGAGAGCGAGAGAGACCGACCGACGGGCATTCAGCGGGAGGGAGAAGGAGGAGGCGAGCGGCGCCTCCGAAAGCGGCGGCGAGACGGGAAAGGAAACGACGGCGGCGATTTCGGCGGGCGACTTTTCAGGGGGAGGAGGGAGGTGGAGTATCGCAAGAGGGACCGGGAGAGGTTAAGCGATTCGAGCGCGACGAGCCCAGAGCCCGGCGAGCGAAACGCGCAAGTCGCGGGAAAAGGAGAGGCGAGTTGGGAGAGAGGGAGGGAAGGAGGGACGCGATGCGGGCGGATCTCGACAGCGAGGGAGGGGAGGGTAGCGCAGAAGTGGAAGGGGGCGCAAGGGGCGATAAAACGTTTGACACTCAGCTGACGCGACAAATGTCGGGGACGGTCGCCCGCGAGGTCGGGAACCTCGCCGGTCGTTTCGGAAATTCCGGAAACTCTGGAAACTCGAGAACGCACGAGATCCCGCGATCGTCTCGTCGAGGTTGGAGCGGCGAGGGTCACACGGGGCGCGGCGCGTCGCGGATCAACGCCCGAATCGGGGACTGACTGATTTAACCCGCCGCGAGAGGAAAAATAATTGACGCGCTGGGAAATAATTAGGAATCGCGGAGTTATTCGACCCTCTGGAAACCGTGAACCTGTAACGCTCGAAATCGCAAGTCGCGCTCGATGACTCCTCGCGGAGAATAATTCGGAATATAATGGAAATATGGGAAATTAATATACGGCGATCGGATCTCGTTCCCGACTCGCCTTCTCTCTCGTCTCTCTCTTTCTCCCGTAATTTCTCTCCGGTTACCGTTCTCCCCTTCTCCCTCGCCCAGTTGCACGGCGATAAAGCCGGCCTCCGGCGCGAGAGGGACGACGAGATACGGAGAGACGGTCGGGGGAGAGAGACAGAGAGTGAAGCTCCGCGAACACGGTACCCCGGCAGACGTCGATACGACTATTCGACGAGGCGACGAGGTCGGGGCTAAAAAGCGCGGCGAGCCTTTAAAAGGCGCAATGCAAGCGAGGTCGGGAACGTTAAGGCGAGGTATTCCGGAAAAAAAAAAAAACATGGCGGTCGGCGAATCGGTCGTTCCTCCGCCGCGGAGATCGCCGAGCGCGAAAAGGGTTCGAAAATACATACAAGGAAAGGAGGCTAGAAAGGAAGACGGAAAACCAACTTTAACCCTAGGACTACCGGCCGATTTTTTTTTTTGGCTGCGCTAGACCATTCGAAGCCAGTCATTTTTATTGGGTTTGGTAGTTCCAGGGATAAGGGCCAAAAAATCACGTTGCCTTAAACCCACGACGTGAATTTACTTCTAGTAATTTACTTTTTAAGAAATAAATATAAAAGAGACGCCGCCTGCATCGCTCCTTCCATTGGCGGCGATTTAACGACCTTGCCGATGCATCGGCCAACGGGGAGGAGGAAATGGGATCCGGTGCCTGGAACGGGTTAAAAACGGCGCCGAAGACGAGTGGGTCGCGGTTCCTTGGGCGCTGCCCGTCTCTCTCCGTCCCGTGGGAATGATTCCGAGAGAGCGAGATGCCCTCGAGGGAGCGAGGCGAGCGGTTGGACGAGGACGGGGCGATTCGGCGGGGCTCGAAAGGCGAGACTTTAAAAAGCGCGGCGCGCGACGATGCGCTCGAATCGGGGCCACGTCGATAGCGATGTGCCGCGAGAAGGGAAGGCGAGAAAGAGAACGCGAGCGGCGGGCCGGCGGGAGCGAGCGAGACGGGAGAAGGAATCGCGCCCCGAGACGGCGCGACACCTCGAGGAGCCGACAGGGCCAGGTGGCCTTTAAGGTTTTTTGTGCCCTTCGAAGATCAATTTAAAGAGTAACGTGTGCTATCAAAAAATATTAATTATAAAGTTTTATTTACTTCCAGATAAAAATATTCACGCGTTTCTCTGCAACCAATCGGAACCTCTCGTTCGCTCGATCGCAAATATTTAAATTCTTATAATTTCTCGGGAAAAAAAAAATTTTAGCGATTGACCGATAAGTTCCCAGGAATTTCTCATCGTTCCTGACGTAACTTCCCGCGTTTAAAACTACTGCCGGGCTGGCCCCCCGCGCGGCTCGAGTTCCACGAAATCCCGCTGGAGGCGTTGGGCGCCCTCGCATCCGCTATCGGTCGGCTCCTAATGACGGATCTCCAGCCAGCTGATTAGTCCCGTCTGGTATTGATTTTTCAATGACGACCGCGAGCGGGGCCTCCCGGCGTCGCGGCGAGCGCCCCATCTCTTTCGCGCTCTCCCTCGGCGGTCGTTTTTTCCGCTCCTTTGGTCCCTTTCCTTGCGTCTCGTCTCCTCTCTCTCTTTCTCCACCCCGCGCGATACTCCGTCTTCGTCCTCCGTGTCCCCTCCCCCCGTCGCTCACCGCGTCGTTTTCCGTTTCGCGTTCTCTCGGTCGTCCCCCAGGGCGCGTGCGCCGACTCGCCCACGAGCCGCCGAGCGCGGTCGAGGAGACCCGATCGCGCCCGAGGACGCCCGAAGGGATCGTTCGATCATCTCCGAGGACCGGCACTCCGGAGATTGGCGACTCTCGCCTCTGTTGGCCAAAGTGACGTCGGAGCGAGGTTTGAGAGAGAAGAAGCGAGAGGAGGCTAGCCGACGCGCGACGAGAGCGAGAGAGAGAGACACACAAGGCCCGGCGCGGCGAGACGGAGGGGGTTGGGAAAGAGAAAGAGAATATGCGGGCGTGAGGGAGGGGACGAGAGAGAGGGAAGTCGAGGGCAAGAGTCGAGGCGTTAGCGGATCCTACCTGCGCAGACCAACGGTAGATCCTTTGTACAGGCCGCCTCGATCTCGCGTTCCCCACCGAGGCGGACTCCGTGAGCTAGATGAGGACACTCCATATTTCCTCGCGGCCCCCCTAAGCGAACGCTCGGCAGAGAGGGGTGCGCACTGTCGGCACGCGATTTCCGTCACATAGCGTGCTACCGTCGCCCACCAAGCAGGGACGCGACACCTCGCTCCGCAACGGCCACTGGCAGCGACGGTGAGCGACGGACTGACCGAGAAGGGGTTGCCAAATTCGCCGACGCGCTTGCCATGCACCACCGTGCAGCGCCGACCAGCGCCGACTGGCGCCGACTGAGCACGATCACAGCGCGACCACGGCCCACCATTGGTCCGCCGTGCGGCGGCGCCACTGGCGCGCCACGCCATTGGCTGCGACGAGCCAAGGTTGCTGGACTCACGCGGGAGAACCGCGCTGGACGAGGCAACGCCTCATCCGCTACTCTCTCTCTGGACACCGAGAGACCGCGGTCTCGGGCCCGACGCCACGCTAAGCTTTTAAATCGCGAGTCGCGGCGAGTTCTCGATAAATCCCTGCATTTCGTTTCATGGCATCTGGAAACTAATATCTCCTTGTGTCTCAGACGTTGTTGTCGAGCGTCAGGTAATGTCTAAGGGATTATTTTTTGCATAGCTGCGATTTAAAGGGGATATGAAAGGGTCATTCTGTACGCATCAAACCGACAAAATATTTACAAAACTTTTCATCACACTCGGGGCGCCGATTACGGTCATTCTTGTTTCTTGGAAATAGCAGGGTTCATTTCGCGAAAATAATTCGCGTTGTTCAAGACGCGAATCCTTTTGTCCCATTGAGGTTATCGAGGCGTACAATTGCACATCTGCGTATGGTAACGTGCAGCCACTGAGTCGGTAACTCGCAGCTGCTACTGGGCGTCGGTAAACATCGGCAGTCGGTGTCGGAGCGTGTAACGGAGTGGACGCGTCGCGTTTCGTATTTTGGCGTTGATATCGATTCGCGATCGCGTTGCTAAAGAGCTACAAGAGCTCGCTGCTAAATGGCGCCACCAGAACTAAAGTTGCATCATCATGCTTGAGGTGAAGTGAAATACGTTAGAAATTTGACTATTGTTAACGGTTCTAACCGCGAAAGTGGATCGTGAAGCCGGCGCGTCCAGAAGAAATCTCCGTTTTCTCTCCTGTTCCGGTGAGTCTGGAATCTGGTTTATCCCGTAAAAAGGAAACTTGCGTACATCGAGGGGTCCCGCAGGAACCACCCGTGACAAATTACTCGATTATGCGCACAGAGACAGCCGTTCCCGGCCCTCGGCCCCTCCATGGCCGCGATTGGATTGATTCCCCAGATAAATCATCCGGTCCACCCAGGGTCGACTTAGAAACCGCTGAAAATCATTTTTTTCTCCCCGCATTTCTGACCTCCGCCTGGAGTGGCGTTACATTACGATCCGTTTCATTAGCCCGAGTGGAGCGTCCATTTGTCGCTCTCCGATTTCCACCTCGCCTGCATTCAAGGTGTTACGAAAGCGTCATATAAATATATACATTGAATAAGTCAAAATATTTAGAAAAATTTTCTCAAAACTGGGTGCACCGAATAATTTGAACAATTTTTTTTCCATGGTTAGTTATCCACGGTATCGAAAGAATTAACGAATAAATCCATCCGATCATTCGATCGCTTCGGCGCGAATTTCTTCCCTCTCGTGTCCCCCCACTCGCTGAGTGCACGCGCACCTACGTGCACGCGAGTCCGCGCATGCGCACCCGCAATTCGAGAGTGTTTATCAGCGACTCGCGATTGGCTCTGCCCTCTGACCCCGCGGAGCGTGGCTCCGCCTCCCGCTTATATGTACCGACACTCGGATTTCTTTCCAACGTAGCTCGAGCTTCTTCTCGGCTGTTTGTCACCGAACCATCATGGCGGATCTTTTCCCCTCCGCGACACCCTTTCGTGGATTCGCCCATGAAGTGGATCGGAAAAAGTTTGAAGATCTCGGACCGCTAAAGTGGGGACGATTTTAATACGTGGCGTTGCATTTCCTCACATCACATCGCGGACTCGTCGTTATCGGAGCATATCACTCGTCACTCGTCCGGAAGTCTCTTTTTCTCCGTTTTTTTTTTTTTGCGCCGTCGTCCCCGCGCCGAGGAAACGTCTCGTCGCGATGACTTATTAATCGGGGGAAAACCTAACCTAGGGCGTCGAAGGTCGGCGTCGTCGGACGGAGGGGCGACCTCGTCAATGGGATATCAATAAAGTAGCCATTGATTGGAGCAAACCGACGGAGTTATCGCGAAAATGTTTTCAAGTTCGCCGACGACTTAACGCCGCACCGAGTCGGGAAACTCCGATTAGAATTTATTTATACGTTCTGAAGGGGAATCGGGAGGTGGGAAGTTGAAGGATGGGGGACGTGGAGAAATACTTATACGTATTCGAGTAACGAAAGCTTTATCGCGATTCCAACGGAAATAACTTGCTGTTCCCGTTTCGACGGATAAGACCTCTATATATTGGAGATTTTTTTCCTCCGCCCTGGAGGTTACTTAATAACGCGCCGTTCCTCGAGCTTTATCTTCGTAGTAAACGGTTAGGACGCAATGGAGCGTCTTTCGGCGTCGTTTAACGTCGCTCGTAAGTAAAGCAGCTCGCGTTTCCTGGCTCAACGACGCAACCGCGACGCGGAAAGGGAGAGGGGTCGACCGAAACCCGCGGCCGGTGTATAATTACCGCGTGGGCGTCGGTACGGCAATTGAGACACAACAAACGCACATTACTCCATCAATGGAGCGGAAGGCACGGGCCGTTTCTGCATTAGCCGTCCCTTTGATGCCGATTAATCGGTATAGGACCGTCGGACATTGTCGTTAACCCATTAGTGCCCACGAAGTTGTTTTCTCCGCTCTCCGGGGAGCGCGGCTCCTCCGGGATGTCCGGATCCCACTTTTTAACGTTACGTTAAATAAATCTCTGGTTATCGGGAACGGGATAGTCCGATTGGTACGGTTAGGTGGTGAGCATCGTTAACTGGATTTTTTCCTTCGGGGTGGAAATTTCTAAGCGGGCGGGGGGAACGCTCGGGAAAATCGAGGAAAGTCGAGGAGCCGAGTCCGCGGGATCCCTTATCGGATATCGGTCGGGGGGAGAGTCCGAGATTCGTGAAAAAGAGAAAAGAAAGGGCAAAATAAGAAACGGGAGGAGAGACGGCCTGTTTACGCGGTGCATCGTGATGCAACGCCACGGGTCACGCCATTCCCGTTTCCGATAAATTCCGTAGCGCCGTCTTCGATACATCGCCGATGTTTTCGCGACGCGTCTCGCGATTACGCGGTCCCGATCGAGCGGAATCCGCGTTTCCGGGGCCGAGCCGTCTACTCTGAAATAAAAATGTCATCGAACCGTAGAAATATTTTTTAGCACGGTTTCGAGGACATTTTTCGTAAATGCAAAGCATAACTCGATTTGACTCGAATAAACTGTCGCGATTCCGAATAAACGTTGCATCGAATTGAAATTAAACTCGAAGAAAAAATCGGATTTCTGATTTCCTCCCGGGCTATTTTTTTTAGGGTGGAGGGGCAGTCGCGGGATCACGGGTACTCTCTCCCCCTCTCTCTTTCTCTATAGATTTTGGACATAATCGACTCTCTCGAGAGTCGCGAGTTCGCGGATAAGAGGCCGGGGTGGGATCAGGTAAAACAGGTTGTTCGACGATTAATCCGCGCCGGGCAACCGGAGGGCAACCCGCGGGCAACGGAATCGGCATGGGCGCAGCACGCGACCCGCCGCGATAAATAATTCTCCCCTCTTCCGTGGAGGGAGGGAGGGCTCAGGAATGGCGCGAGCGATGGGCGAGTCCGGCCGTTCGTCTCCGTCGCTCGCCGTTTAATGCCGCGCTTATCGGGGGGAATTGCTTCCGCGAGGAACGGCCGCTTGCCGCCGATTGATTCGTTAAGGAGTCACTCTAGGGAGGAAATCGCGACGGAACCGCGGCGGAACAAGAAAGTTTGGGGGATCGTGGACCAACCTAAGTGCATAGAAACCTCGAAATTAATTCGATTTTGAAAAACTAAGGTGCATTTAAATATCAACACCGCATACTTCCTGGAGCTAAATCGACGTAAATACGCGTAGAGCAATGTTCACTTCGACGGTTGAACTCGATATAGTTTTTTAGGGTTCCTTGCAATTTGGACCGATCAGGTACGATTCGGTAGAGGGAGGGGGGGTGGAAGATGCGGACCCATCGCCCGGAGCCAGGTCGGTTTCGCGGAAAGTTATCCGTCCGAGCGATATGCGGAACGCCGCGAGTTATCGGGGTAGAAGGAGCTCGCTCCGTCTCGCTCCCCCTCAATGTAGAGAGGTATGCGGCTTCGAGTGAGATATAATAAGGTCAGACGCCGGGGTTATCGCCGGGGTGACCGTATCTTAGCCGGAGCGGCGAGCGCGCTGGTGAGCGGAGAAACGATAAAACGGAATACCGAGACCCCGGCGGTGGCCGCAGCGGTCCCGCGCCGCCGCCGCCTTGGACCTGGTCCAAATCTCGCCCCGGGACTCGGGTACCCTCGGTCACCTCGGCGAACTCACCCGGGAGGAGGTCCAGGGAGCGGCGAGGCGCGAGGAGCCGATAGGACTCCGAGGGGGTTACAAGTACGGTAAATCTACGATGTTACGGGTATTTATACATATTTTCATTCGTCATTTTTCCATTTTATGTTCCTCTCTACGTGAAACTTTGGGGACGATGGGCGTAAAAGCGAAGCTTCCATCGATTTTCGGTGCAGAGTATCCAAGATCAAGATCGAGACCAAAATACCAATCTTGCTCCCTCTTGCCGTCAACCTCCACTTCCTTCTCGCCGCTTAGAAGGAATTTCCTAGGTGACGAAATTCAGCGATCGCGATGTACTCCGATAGGGTCCTGGACCTCGAAGGGATGCTGGGCGCGCTTTATGGCGGCCGTAAAGGACCTCTCGGGCTGCGACAAACCGCTCGCCGAAAACGCGCCGGGCGTAATTCCGAACGCGCCGCGGAGGCTGCTCCTTATCTTCGCGGCCGCGTCCCCGCAGGGGATTCTCAATGAAGCTTTGTCTCTTCCGTGCCCTTAAGAAGCCGCCGCGCCTACGGCTTCGACCGGCGGTCCTCTCCCTGTTTCCGGTCTCCTTGCTCCGCACTTTCCATATATATCAGGAAACTCGTAGTGTCGAATGATAAGCGAAACATTAAAAATGTTTCAGGTACTTTTAATAAGTACCTGATTTTCAGGTAATCTTTAAAATGCTTCGGGTACTCTTACTAAAGACCTTTCAGGTACCTTTTGGAGATTTGCAGGTACCTTTAAAAGGTACCTGATTTTCAGATACTCTTACTAAAGGCCTATCAGGTACTTTTTTACAGAATTCAGGTACCTGTAAAAGGTACCTGATTTTCAGATGCCCTCACTAAAGGCGTTTCAGGTACTTTTTTTTTTTACAGAATTCAGGTACCTTTAAAAGGTACCTGATTTTCAGATACCCTTACTAAAGGCCTTTCAGGTACTTTTTACAGAATTCAGGTACTTTTTAAAGGTACCTGACTTTCAGATACTCTTACTAAAGGCATATCAGGTACTTTTTTACAGAATTCAGGTACCTGTAAAAGGTACCTGATTTTCAGATACTTTTACTAAAGGCCTTTCAGGTACTTTTTAAAGGTACCTGAATTCTATAAAAAGTACCTGAAAGGCTTTTAGTAAAAGTATCTGAAAATCAGGTACCTTTTACAGGTACCTGAATTCTGTAAAAAAGTACCTGATATGCCTTTAGTAAGAGTATCTGAAAATCAGGTACCTTTTAAAGGTACCTGAATTCTGTAAAAGGTACCTGAAAGACCTTTAGTAAGAGTATCTGAAAATCAGGTACCTTTTAAAGGTACCTGAAAATCTGTAAAAAGTACTTGAAAGGCCTTTAGTAAGAGTATCTGAAAATCAGGTACCCCTTAAAGGTACTTGGAAACCTCTATGACACGATCCCGGGACACGATCCCGGGTGGCGGCTGTCAGCGGCTTCGAGCTCTGGTTTACGATCGCGCGGAGGAACCGCCTGGCCCGAGTCCAAGCTACCGTGCGGCCTAGAACGCGCGGCTCGTCCGCGCACGTAGCCGCCCCCTCGCTCTCCCCCCGAAACGAGGATTTATCGAGACGCTCTCTAAGAAACTCACGCCGCGACCCGGCGTGCTGATTTATTCGCGATTTCTATATTCCATATTCCGCAGGGGCGCCGCGCGGCCATGGCCCGGCGGTAAATCAAAGAGGCCCAGGCCGCGCAATTTCATTTGCGGATCCGCAGGGCGCGTCGTCACCCCCGTGTCGCGGATTCGCGCGGATCAGCAACTCCCTAAGTGGATCAGACCCCTGGACGACGTCTCGGCCCCTTAAGGGTGGGTGGCGCGAACCGCAGGGGACTCTCCGCTGCGACCCTTGTTGCCACCCCTGACTCTTTACGAAGTAAAACGCAGGAGATTCCGCCCCGGTCCTGGATTCGCGGAGAAGTCGGATTGAATTATCGCGAAAAGTTATTGGCAAATTTCCCTGACTCGAGCCATTTTTCCGATCCTCGGCAAGAGTCAAAATCTGACACCTGTGATGTCTCCTCGGATTCTTTTAACTTTATTTTGTATGAACAAGTATTTAAATATTGCCTTTCTTCTCCTAAGCTGGTTTGATGAAAATAATTTTTCCCCGGAAATTTGTGCGACAAACAAATACGGCGAGTGTACAGAGAAAGGAGAGATAACGAGTCGGGGCAAAACTATTTCCTGTCGCGGTCTCTATCCTTCCCTGTCTGGTCTCCGCATTCCTGCACGAGTCTACTTCAATATAAACAATTGGCCGGGACTCCTCCGTTCCTCCGGTGATTTCTGGCCCGACGTGACGGCCGCCATCTTGACCTCTCGCTCTTCCTCTGCAAAATCCGTCCTCGCAATCAGACTCAACCCGAGTCGCTTCTGGATCTGGAATTTCACGAATCGAATGAAACAGGGACGTAAAAGAGGAAGGAGAAAAGGAATGGACAGCACTCGGAAAGTGCGAGCGAGCTATCGGAGGTACGCCTCGTGTATACAATTAATTTATTTATAATATTTATAATCCTTCTGTAAGTCCTATGTATAATAGAGATTTTTAACCGCGCGTCCTCTCGGTTCATCTGTTTATTTATATATTTATATTTATATATATATATATCTATATATTAATTATGTACACGTTTTTTATACAAAAATGTTCACGTACTTTATACATAACTATGTATAGATATTTTCATTACGATCTACGTACATTAGACGATATCCGCTGGCGGTGTATAATACAGTTTCGAGTTTCGTGAGCAACTGCCTCTCTCTCTCTCCCCTTTTCCCTTTTGTTTCCCTGCCCCCCTTCCGCTCTTTCCCTCACTCTGTTTCCCTCTCTGTCTCCCCGAGGAGTCGTCTCGAGCTAAATCACGGTTTTCGGAAAGATTATCCAAAAAAAGGCACCGACCGCGCTACGGGAACGAAAGGTCACCGTTCGAGGGGATGATTCGATGGCGGAGCTTCGAGGGGTTTAACCCGAGGGGCTATTCGCTAGGAAATCCGTGATAACGATTTTCTTCTTTGAGATCCGATTGCCCTTGACTTGATACGATAAGAAGCAACATAATTCGGTAACAAGCGACGTTCGGCCTTAAAGTTGCGCCAACGTTTCGGTGATTTCGATGATTTCCTCGTGATTGCGCGCATTAAAATCGACGATTTCCTGCGCAAATGACCCCTGGTGTGAAACGATCCTCCGGATTCACCCGGGACGGCCCCTTTTAAAAGGACGACGCCTCAACTCCCGGTGAGGAACGACCGCTTAAAAATATCAGAAATATTCCCATATAACCCCTAAAGTGCGCCACTAAGTAACTAGCTCGACATTGCCACATTTACTATCGTATAATAATCAAATTCGTATCACTAAGCAACCCTATACAGCTCTCGCGCAATGTACAATATTTATATAAGGTAGCAAAAAAAAGGGAGCACCGTCTCGAGTAAACCGCCTTTTCTCGCCCTTTCGCGTCATTTCTTATATCACATTGTCCCCCTCGTCGCTTCCGCGAGCCCCGGCATTCCCCTCCCCCTGTCCTTTCGCCCTTTTCCACTTTCCACCTTCCATGGGTAAGAAGGAGGTCGCAGTGAATTTTTGAGCTGTCCCGCAAGTTCGTGCCATTCATTTGCAAACAATTTCCTCGAAGAACTAAAATTTAACAATGTTATAACACGTCGTTCGCTTTTTTGTCGCTCAAAAAATTTAACGCGATAAAATTTGGAATATTTAAACGGCACGAACTTACAGGGCAGCCCGCTTTTCGCAGAATTCCTTCTTTTCGCAAAATCCACACTTTTCGCAAGATTCCCAGATTTCGCGGAAGGAGTTTCAGTATTTTCGAACTCCGTTGCGCCAGGAGGAGCGAGAAGAGGGAGTTCCCAGGGAGGGAAACTTCGAGCTCCTCGAAGACATCTTCCCGCTGGAAGATCCTCAAGAGGAAATCCGCGAAAAGCGCGATTGCCGATGCTAATTTATGGCACGTCCGGCATCGGTCGCTGCAAGGAGCGCCTCCACCCCAGCTGTTCGTCGGGGGTGGTGCTAGGTAGGGGTGGTTTTGTCCGACCACTCGGCGCGCCGATTCCGAATAAGCGACGACTCGATTACCCTCCCCTCTGCTTGCCACGGGGGGTACACCCCCGGTCGGGTGGAGAGAGAGGCGAGAGTCCTGGTCCCTCGGCGACTTTCCTCCGGCGGTCGCTTCCGATCGCTTCCGGTCGGCTTTCGTCGCTTCCGGTTGCTTCCGGCCACTTCCGGTCCCTTCCGGTCCCTTCCGCTCACGGATCCGCAGCGGTCGTGTCGCGAGCCGCGGCGAGGTATTATGCGGAAGCTAGCTGCCGCCAGACGGAGTGTCACATCGAGGACATGTACGGCCAGTTGAAGCTGCTCCCGCTGAGCAGCATGTCCCGGATGAGCGTCTCGATCGGGGTCTTGCCCACCAGCCTGACGAAGAAGAGCTGCTCGATCACCTGGGAGGACACCGTCCTCAGGGAGGGCAGTCGCAGCAGCAGCTTGCCGAACCTCGTCAGTTGCGTCGGGTACTGGGTGCGGCAGTACTCCTCCAGCGCGCACTGAGACTTCTCCTGGAGGGACTCGATGTGCGCCACGTCCGAGAGCCCGCAGGCGTCTGCAACAGAAAATGCGTCTTTTTAAGGAAATTTAAAAGTAGGACCGTCCTTAAGATCCGCGAAGTCGATCGTTCGTGAAATTCTTCTCCGCCCTAGGCTTACCGATTCGTTTCGAACTCTACAACGCGAACGTGGACGCCGCTTTCGTGCCGCCTTAATTCGGTTCGTTCTCATCGGTTCCAGGGATTTTGCTTTTGTCCAGGATCGCCCGCGAGGAGATTCGATTATCGGCCTGGCCGAAGAGTCGGCGAGCCTCCGCCCTCGCGTGTCCAATATAACGAGGTCGACGTGTGTCGACCTTAATGGAATCCCTGAGCGTTTTATGAATTTACGCGTGGTGGGCCCGGCGTTACGAAACGCCACGAGGACCTTTGCTGACTCGGTCGAGGGTAAATGTCGGTCGCATCGATCGTGCGGCCCCCTCGCGGACTGCGTGCAGCGACTCCGCGCGTTGCGCTCGCCCCCGGAGGGGGGGCCAAATTTACTTTCATTTTTTTCCTCCCGATCCGAAGTAGGCATCCCTTCGCAACCCCAATTCCCTTAGCCGAGGATAAGTTTGCAACCCTCTATCCCGTTTGATTTTTCTGGCGAAATTTAAGGTGATACTTAATTTTTTTTCCAGTTCGTTTTTCTCTTTCTTTAGCAACGGACAAAGAGGATAACTCGCGCTCCGTTTACCGGCGTTTCCTCTCGCGCGAGAAGCCGGCACGCGTGGAGAATCGGCACGCGTGCGCCACGCCGCAGGAATTACTCACGTACGCGCGAGGGTGGGCGCGAGCCAATGCCGCGTTCCCATTGGTCGCCTTCCGGTAGGCGCCCGCTCCCATTGGCTCCCGCGGCCCGGGGGTCCCTTTGTCGCGGCCACGTGCTCGTAATGGCCCATTAGCCGCGCCCGCGGGGAAGTAATGCAATCTGCATCGCCGCGGTGCTCGGTAAGTATGCGACCTCCGTTGCCGAAACCGCCGTCGACCTTGGCTTTAATCCCTGCGTCTAATGGTTATCGCTCTCGGTTTGCTCTACTAGCCTGGACGAAAGAAGGAAAATGGAAATACGAGGGCGGTGGGATTAAAAGCGTACGTTATCCCCCCCTTGATATTTTTATTTAACCCTGCAATTACCTCCAATGGATATTCACAAGAAAAAGAAATTATCCGCACACTTGGGGAGAACTCAGTATTTAATATAGAAATCGAAATATGAGCGCGGTGGAATGGAAAATGTAGAAGAACGAGAATTGAGAACGTTATATCTCGGTCGGTCGTCGCCGAGCGGAGCACTTGACGCGGGCGCCTCGGCGCCCGCGCGGGATCGGCGTCTCGATGTAGATTTGTTTCAATCGCGATTGACGAGCTCAATTAAAGACGGACCGCGAGGAATCCGCCAACGCGGCCGCCAATAAACAAACCGTCGGATTGGCTCCCCGATGTCGTCAGCTCCAATTCCCCGCATCAATTCAAATGATGCCGTCGGGCCCCCGCTCGCGCCCCCCGCGGATGCGGCTCCGCGCGCTGCGCTGCATGCGTTAACGTTAAATGCCGTGGCGCCTCGTTGACTGGCCGCCACGACAAATTAACCGATCTTAACTGGGCCCCCTCTCGAGGGAGGACGATTCAATCGAGCCTCTTCTCTTTGTTTTCTTTGTCTATTTAGATGCTTTCGTGCGACCTCGATCCGACCGTAGAAATTTCTGCGTTCGGTCTTAAGGTGAAGCGAAACCCGTCGAGACATTCGATCGACCCCGATGAGAAGGAATCTTCTAAGTACCTAAGTGTCGAATTAAATTGGGCGTTGTACCAAATACACCGTGGTGAGACAGTTCACCTCATTCTGGCACTTTCATCCAGGACGTCAATAATTCCGCGGAACGTCCGCTCGGGATTTTTGGTCGATATTCAATACTCCATTATTTCGCTCGTGGGGGTGACTGGAATCGCAAAAAACGTCAACCTCGGTGCAACAATAAGCGGTTGTACCCCGCCCGATAATCCCCCATAAAAGGGATTCGCCGGTTCAGCGGAACTTTGGGGAAAATCCCCCAGGAGGTGCGCCCCCTCGGGTCGCCTTCTCCGCCTCGCTTTCGGTTTCCTCTTTAGAGTTCAAAAATTCTTAGGAGCATAAAATTGGCAGGAATTTTTCATCGTTCCCGACGTAACTTCTCGCGTTTAGAGCTCTATTGCTCTCACCCATTCATTCCTCTCCCTCCGAGGGTCGGGTCGAAGGGGCGCAGGTGCGCGGGGGAGGGGGTGGTCCTCTAAACCGGGCGAGGGCGCCCTCTTCGCGGGGGCGTACAAATAAGGCGTCCGGAGACAAATGACGCGGAGAGGGATCAGCGCGACACAAAGCGCCCCCTTTTGCACCCTTCCGAGTCGGAGGTGACGTCACCGACAATGGAAGGTCGAGCCGTGATTAAAGATCGAGACTCCGTAAAAACTCCTTGAAAAGTGGCGGTGGGAGGGCAGGGGGGACGGACCCGCGGCGTGAAATATTGCCTCCGAGGCTCGCGACGGCTACGTGACGTTTCCGAGGGGCATGGAGGCGTCCGCGGGCCCGTGCGGACGCGCCGCGTCGCGACGCCGGCCCTTCCTCCTGGGTCGGCCTCGACTTTGACGACGCGCTTTGTGACCGTCGGGACGGCGGGTCCCGATCGCGACCTGGATCTCCCTCTCTCTTTCTTTCGTTCGTTCCGTCTAAAAGGCTGTCACGACGTCGCTTGGAATCGGAGCTAAAGTCCCGTCGGTTGGAGTCGGAGCTCGAGTCCCGTCCACGGGCCTCCGGGAAAAACGCGCGTCCGCTATTTCACCGTAGCTCTAGGTGAGCCCCGGTGTTCTTGCGGCTGGGGAACCAACTTAACCGTTCTCAATAGTGACCGTGAAATAAAAAGTAAAGGCGAAAACCACATAAGTGACATTTGTAATTAGTGACGGGGGATGACAAAGAGCGGGAAAAAATTGCGAAAGAAATCCGCGTTCCGGGGCCGGGTGGGTGGATGAGGTCGTTAATCGTTAATCCCCCGCTCGTTAAGTCCCGCTCTTAATTAGCCCGTTGTCGGGCGCGCGAGGGAACGATCCGCGAGAGCGATGAAAGCGTTAACGAGGGCCGCGACGTCGTCGTCGTCGTCGTCGCCGACGTCGCGGGAGGGAGAGGACCGGAAGTGACCGGCGCTCCCGCGTATAACGCTCGTATAACGCGACCGCCTTAACGTCGTCCCGATGCGTCGACTTCGAGGGCGCCAAAGGCACATGAAACCCCCTCCTGTAATTACCTTTCTCAATCACGGGCGCTTTTAACGACGAATCGTCGCCGACGCCGCGTTAAGGCCGCTCTAAAAATCGTGGATTTTCGCGTAGAGTTTTCTTGCGTTCCCATCGGGAAGGACGGTTAGGTCGGACGTTTTGCCTTACAAGGCGCTCCTTACAAGGGGCCGGGGGTTGACCACACACGGGGCGTCGGGTATCACAATATTGTGAAGAAGCGCCTTTCGCGCCTCATAATGGCGGCTCGCGTTAATTATCATAACAACGAGCGCGCGTTTAGAGGCCGCGTCCTATCGGCGGGACGCATCGCGCGGCCGCGCCGCGGCGTTATGCGGAGGTACACCTAGGTGTCGTACAAGCGGCCCGTTTAGGGGGGCCCATTGTCATGTTAATGCGCGACAATGCCAATCCCATTACTAGGGTTACACATCCTGGGTGTCGGCTCGCCTCTCCGCGGCTCTTCCGCGTCTTTCCCAAAGGGCGCACTCTCCGACTCGCGTTTCTCTCTCGCCCTATTCCGCCCTAAGGCCGCGGCAGGTAATGTCAACCCGTGGAGGTCCGGAACCTGCGGGAACCTGCGGCCACCTTCGGGACCTCCGGGTACCTACGGGAACCTACGGGAACCGGTCCGGCTCGGGGTAAATGTCAACAACGACATAACGGACGGGGATTATCGCGTGCTGGGAGGAGTAACGCCGGGACAAAAGGTCGTGAACTTTCCGCGTGTCATAATCTGTCTGAGAGGGGTCCGGGGGAAGGAGGGGCGCCGCCACCTCGCGCGGATCGCCGAGATTACGGCGACCCCTCGACCGCGTCCGACCCTCGACCCCCTCCGGGGGGAAGCGCCCCCCGAAAACGGGGCACCGCGGCGGAAGAGTTTCCGGTTTCCGAGTTTGATCGATAATTTTCCCGGGAGGGGTGATATTAAAAATCATGAAAGATTTTTTATAATTAATTTTCACCATTCTTTCATTCGCTCCTTCGAGAGGCCGCGACGCGGAATCGCGCTTCCTCCCCGTCACCTCGCGAGGCGATCTCCTCCCTGCGGGCATTCCGCGCGGAATTGTGTCCGCTGGCCTTTCCGGGACAAAGGGGCGGCCGCGCGATTACGATCGCGCAAAGTTCGGAGGTCGCGGGGCGGGCGGCTTGTAACGACCGCAACCGCGGCCGTTGTGTCGCGTCCGTCTCCGGCGCAACTATGAAAACCGAATAACGCGGCAGGCCGGGGCGCGGAGGAATCTATTGATAAATTCAGTGGCCGCCATAAACAATGCCGCAACAATGTCAATTATGCGCCGGCCGCGGTCGCGCGCCACGCAATTAATCGGCCCGCCCCCGCGACTTTGCGCCGTAATTGATAGGGCCGCGGGTGGATCCAACCGTTTCGAATTTTCACCCCCTTCGGTCCTCGAATTCGAATTTTCGGGGCGCGGCATAAACTACCCCTTTGGTCCTTGAATTTGAATTTTCCATACGCGATGCCGAACCACTCTCGGAAATCTCTGCAAATTTATATTTTTCCCTGTCATCTCTAAATCTCCCGAACCGAGCTTGACAATTAGAAATCGTAATTAAAGATGGCCGGTAAAGTCGACGCGAGCAAGTGGCGACAGGTGCGGGCGGTGCGGAGAAAAGTGCGAATTCCGGACACGTGCGTTTTCGAGACCTCCTTCGGGCGGCGGGCGTTCCGCGCGTCCGCGTCCGCGTGTGGGCGCGTAATATATTCTCGGAATAGACAATGTGGC